AGGCAGGCCTTGGTGGGGAGAGCCACGACGGCTGGAATCTGTCCCCACCGCTGAAGGACGTTGCAGGAGGCCCCTTCATCAAGGTCAAGAGCGGTTTCACTTTTGAGCTCGCACTGCCAGGCACGGATGTCTGGCGGACCGCGGAGTCACAATACGTTTTGCTCTCGCCACCGCCGCCCTCCGCCCCGCCCTCGCTGCCGCCGCCCTCCGCCTCGCCGTCACCGCCACCGCCGAGCCCGCCGCCTCCGTCACCGCCCCCACCGAGCCCACCGCCACCGTCACCGCCGCCGCCGTCGCCGCCGCCTCCATCGCCGCCGCCGCCGTCACCGCCGCCGCCAAGCCCGCCGCCGCCGAGCCCGCCGCCACCGAGCCCGCCGCCACCATCTCCGCCGCCGCCGTCACCACCGCCGCCCTCGCCGCCGCCTCCCTCACCGCCGCCTCCCTCAGCGCCGCCGTCGCCGCCGCCGCCCAGCCCGCCGCCGCCCAGCCCGCCGCCGCCCAGCCCGCCGCCGCCGTCCCCGCCGCCGCCCAGCCCGCCGCCGCCCTCGCCGCCGCCTCCATCGCCGCCGCCGCCGTCACCGCCGCCGCCCTCGCCGCCGCCGCCCAGCCCGCCGCCACCGAGCCCGCCGCCACCATCTCCGCCGCCGCCGTCACCACCGCCGCCCTCGCCGCCGCCGCCCTCACCGCCGCCCCCCTCTCCGCCACCGCCGTCACCGCCACCGCCGAGCCCGCCGCCTCCGTCACCGCCCCCACCGAGCCCACCGCCACCGTCGCCGCCGCCGCCGTCGCCGCCGCCTCCCTCGCCGCCGCCGCCGTCACCGCCGCCGCCGAGCCCGCCTCCGCCCTCGCCGCCGCCACCGAGACCGCCGCCACCATCTCCGCCGCCGCCGTCACCACCGGCGCCCTCGGCGTCCCCTCCCTCACCGCCGCCGCCAAGCCCGCCGCCGCCGTCCCCGCCGGCGCCCTCGTTGCCGCCTCCCTCACCTCCGCCATCTATCTGCTCCGATGCCTCCGCCTTGGCCTGCGGGTGCCCCGTCGACTCCGCCGCCGGCGCCTTTGTTTCAGGGGGAGGGGGTCCCTTCGATCTCTGCGGCTCTGCCGCTGTCGACGCCGACGGCTGGTGAGCCGATATTGGTACCGCGTGGGCGGACTACTCCACGCCCGCCTGCGGGCTTTGTAACCCGCAGCGGGGAG